TGGATGAGAAGGCCTGGTTCACAATAGTTCCATTTCAACCCAAAGGTTATCAGTAGGTCAAGATTATGGTTGAAGCTCTGTAGAGGCCACTCAAGTTTCTCCACATCAAACTATGTCTTTATAGATGGTGATTAGTAGGGTTGAGATCAAGTCTCTGTACAGGCCACTCAAGTTCCTCTGCACAAAACTTATGAAGCCACATCTTTGTAGATGGTGATCAGTAGGGTTGAAGTCAAATCTCTTTACAGGCCATTCGAGTTTCTCCACACCAAACTGATCAAACCATGTCTTTATGAATGGTGATCAGTAGGATTAAGGTGAAGTCTATGTGCAGGCCACTCAAGTTCTCCACACCCATTTTATCAAACCATGTCTTTATAAATGTTGATCAGTATGGTTAAGGTCAAATCTCTGTGTAGGCCATTCAAGTTCCTCCACACAAAACTAAATGAAACCAGTATTTTTAAATGGTAAATAGTAGGGTGAGAGGTCAAGTCTCTGTGCAGGCCACTCAAGTTCCTCCACACTCATTTTATCAAACCATGTCTTTATAAATGTTGATCAGTAGGGTTACGGTCAATCTCTGTGTAGGGTTAAGGTGAAGTCTATGTGCAGGCCACTCAAGTTCCTCCACACTCATTTTATCAAACCATGTCTTTATAAATGTTGATCAGTAGGGTTACGGTCAAATCTCTGTGTAGGGTTAAGGTGAAGTCTAGTGCAGGACACTCAAGTTCCTCCGCACCCATTTTATCAAACCATGTCTTTTTTGATCAGTAGGGTTACAGTCAAATCTCTGTGTAGGGTTAAGGTGAAGTCTATGTGCAGGCCACTCAAGTTCCTCCACACCCATTTTATCAAACCATGTCTTTATAAATGTTGTTCACTAGGGTTAAGGTTAAGGCCATTCAAATCCTCCACACAAAACTCATGAAACCACGTCTTTTTAAATGGTAAATAATAGGGTTGAGATCAAGTCTCTGTGTGTAGGCCACTCAAGTTCCTCCACACCAAGGTCATCAAACCATGTCTTTATGGATGGTGATCAAGGGTTAGGGCTCTGTTAATGCTATTCAAGATCCTCCATACAAAACACATCAAACTATGTCTTTCTGGAGCTGGCTTTGTGCACAATCATGAATGAACAGAAAACTGTCCTCATTGGAAGTGCACAATTGCCAATATCTTTGTATGATATAGCTTTAACAGTATCCTTCACTGAAAACATGTAAACTCAATCATTTGGAGGGGTGTCATCATAACTTTGGCCATATAGATGATGAGAAGGCCTGGTTCACAATAGGTCCATTTCAACCCAAAGGTTATCAGTAGGTCAAGATTAAGGTTGAAGCTCTGTAGAGGCCACTCAAGTTCCTCCACATCAAACTATGTCTTTATAGATGGTGATTAGTAGAGTTGAGATCAAGTATCTGTACAGGCCACTCAAGTTCCTCTGCACAAAACTTATGAAACCACATCTTTGTAGATGGTAATCAGTAGGGTTGAAGTTTCTCGAGTTTCTCCACACCAAGCTGATCAAACCATGTCTTTATGAATGGTGATCAGTAGGGTTAAGGTGAAGTCTATGTGCAGGCCACTCAAGTTCCTCCGCACCCATTTTATCAAACCATGTCTTTATAAATGTTGATCAGTAGGGTCACGGTCAAATCTCTGTGTAGGCCACTCAAGTTCCTCCACACCAAGCTCATCAAACCATGTCATTATGGATGGTGATCAGTAGGGTTGGGGCCAGGGCTCTGTTAATGCTATTCAAGATCCTCCATACAAAACACATCAAACTGTCTTTCTGGAGCTGGCTTTGTGCACAGTCATGAATGAACAGATAACTGTCCTCATTGGAAGTGCACAGTTGTCTAAAATGTCTTTGTATGATATAGCTTTAACAGTATCCTTCACTGAAAACATATAAACTCAATCATTTGGAGGGGTGTCATCATAACTTTGGCCATATAGCCTGTGCACCCTTCTGATTCATGTAAAGTGTGGATTTTAATGATACATCCACTTTAAAAACCTTTATGTAACCTGATTGAAGGCTTTAATGCACAGTCTTCTGTACAAGCCTAGTAATTCTGAGCTCAGACATGGCACCATTAGTGTCTATGGCTCTAGTTATGACCTTGCCCCATTGACAGACAAATTCCAGCCTCCTGACCAGACACTTAGTATCATTTCTGCCCTTCGCGGATTAACTTGTCAGGCTGATTGCAGTTTTGCCCTGCGCTCACTTTGTTCTGCAGTAGCTGTTTTCAGAGAGCCTCAGACAAAGTAGCGATGACCCTTCGGAAAGTCAAAATCTCTATTTGTTTAGCTTGGAGTTTGGGTGTGAGATTTACATTAATCGCTGCCACCCGCATGAGCTCTGCCATTTGTTATTAGTGATAAGTGTGGACAGTAGCTATTACTTCCCACCCCCCCCTCGTGTTCTCAAATGTGCTGAAGAGACGGCTAGATTTATGGGGAATGCATTATTCAGCAGGCGAGGCCTCGGATCAGATGGCGCTGACTTTATGGGAACTATGTACGTCTGTGTTTTTTTTGTTTGTTACAATTTATATATTCTTTCTGGAATGTCATCGCACGTACAATAATATCACCCGGCACAAAGCTGGAAAATGTTTATTTGGGATTTTTTGGGTTGATTTTTATCTTTATGCTTCTGTTCTACAGTCTTCACCTGTTATTTTCCCTATATCCACATTGATTATTCACTATTTTGCTCTTCACCCTCCATATCTCTCTCTTACCCCTCTGTTAACTCTCTTTCAAATCTTTTTATCCTTTCTTCTTTGTAAATTCAAATAATCCTTTTTGGCAGGGCCAAAGCATTTGAGGAGTTTTTATGGGTTGGGGGCTGGAATTGAGAATTTGAAGTTTCCTTCAGGAAGTCTCAGACATCCAGAATAAGAGTGGAGAGTCTCTGGTGGTGAGTGTCCATTTGGAAACTCGGGCACTGCCCGAGGGCCTGGGGTCAGTAGGGGGCCCCATGAGATGCCCCTGGTACCTTTTTCATAGGCTTTTTTGAGTTTGGGCAAGGACACGGGGCCCCATGATCCCCTATTGCCCGGGGGCCCCATGAGTTGTCAGTCCACCCCTGCTTCAATGAGTACTTGGGGCACCATAGCAAGAAGTGGTCCTCATCTTCCTGGACCCCGTGGTCACATTGCTGACACATTCTACTTTTCCTGGGCTTGTAGGCCTGTCTGTGTCATCCTGCTTTGATTTCCAGGCTGTACAGGTTCAGGCTCTGTCTGTCTTTTGGCTCTTGTACCGCCTCAAAGTATTGGGCCAGTTTCTAGTCTCTCTGTAGCAACTGTTAAGTAGTTAGTTTCTTGAGTTGGTTACTTAATTTTTTCATTTTCTGACATATTTTTCTTTGGAATTGTTCATTATGAATTTTATTTGATTTTTTGTCAGGCTGAATTGTTGGGAGTTTGGGATAGACAAGGTACTGACTGCAAGGCTTGGACTAGTCCTTGTTGGTTAGTAAGGTTTAAAGGATAAGTTCACCTTTTGCTAAAAAATAATAAATGCATATTTTTTTGCAGGTAAAAAATTTGCATTTATTATTTTTTTATTATTTTTTTGTTGCAGGAGCCTGTAAAACATTGCGCCAGAGATCAGCAGATTGCTGGTGCCATGCAAGCCTCCTGCAGACCTGTCAGTATATCTGCTTGCTCATATAGGATGTACGGCCAAACAGATATACTGACAGGAAGTATCAATTAACTACCACAGCGCCGTGATAGTTCATTGAGAACTACAAGCCGACAGCTGCTAAGACTGTTGGGACTTGTAGTTTCTCATTCACAGAGGACTGTGATTGAATGACGTGGCCAAGCAGGTATAGCTATGCATGGCCATGTTTTTAAAAATTTTGATAGCTAGCAGGAGAGGGGGGGGGGGGGGGGGTCTATTCACAACATGTTACATGTTACACCCTGACAGGGGCAGAGTGAACATTTGGAAACTCGGGCACTGCCCGAGGGCCCGGGGTCAGTAGGGGGCCCCATGAGATGCCCCTGGTACCTTTTTCATAGGCTTTTTTGAGTTTGGGCAAGGACACAGGGGCCCTATGATCCTCAATTGCCTGGGGGCCCCATGAGTTGTCAGTCCGCCCCTGCACCCTGAATATTGGTTTAACACGTTATGAAAGGTGAACTTATCCTTTAATGGTGGTATGAGTTGGGACTGCTGTTTTGTAGATGGTCCCAGTATCATAGCTCCTCTTCTATACTGCAGGCAGTAAGGGAAATCTGCCCAGCTTAGACTGGCAATCACTGTTGGGGGTGCTCAAATGGAGTATGCAGGATTTCAGATGGAATATTTCCAGTGGACTGCAGTCCAATTTGGATTGTTCTGGGCAGAAAACAGGACCCCAAACTTCACTTGGAAACTCGGACACTGCCCGAGGGCCCGGGGGCCGGTAGGAGGCCCCATGAGATGCCCCTGGTACCTTTTTCATAGGCTTTTTTTGAGTTTGGGCAAGGACACAGGGGCCCTTTGATCCCCAATTGCCCGGGGGCCCCATGAGTTGTCAGTCCGCCCCTGCACCCTGAATATTAGTTTAAACACGTTATGAAAGGTGAACTTATCCTTTAATGGTGGTATGAGTTGGGACTGCTGTTTTGTAGATGGTCCCAGTATCATAGCTCCTCTTCTATACTGCAGGCAGTAAGGGAAATCTGCCCAGCTTAGACTGTCAATCACTGTTGGGGGTGCTCAAATGGAGTATGCAGGATTCCAGATGGAATATTTCTAGTGGACTGGAGTCCAATTTGGATTGTTCTGGGCAGAAAACAGGACCCCAAACTTCACTTCCATAAAAAAAGATTGGGGTAATGATGCTATCAAAGATTTTAAGCTAGACTCTTACCAGTGGTTTTCGTTGGCATAGCTGTCTCCTGATGGCATAGAAGGCCCGCATGTTGTGTCTTGAAACTTCCATATTAATTATTTTCTAGACCGAGGTATGTGTAACTGTTGGATTCATCAAGAGTGCAGTTGTTTAAACCCCCCTGGCGGTATTCCCGAGTGTAGCTCGGGGTAAAGTTTCAGTACCAAAAGCGGTAACCCCAAGCTACACTCGGGCTTACCATGCGGCGCTGCATAGGGAGTCCCTGCAGCACTTACCTTGTCCTTCGCAGCGTCCCCGTCCATCTCCTCCGGCCGATGCCGGCATCCGGCTCCTGTGTTCCGGTCCCTGTGACGTTGGGACGTACGGGCGCCGGCGGCGGCAAGAAATTTGAAAATTTAAAAAAAATTTAATTTTTTTCAAAACAATTTTACATAGTAAAACATTGCTGTTTCAACCCATTTCACATACATTGTGTCCCGAGTGCTTTGTCCGGCGCCCTGCCTACATTTTGACTGTTCTTTCTTCCTGGAAACTGAGAAACGTCCATGGTGTCCAAAAAGTGTCCCTTTAGGTCAAAAGCGGTTTTAGACCGGCTAGAGAACAGCGATAGTAAATCAGAACCACTTGCAGAATTGAGTGATAATGATTCGTGGGGGAAATTCCTCATCAGACACTGAAAACGATTCTGCGACTTTGCTCAGTGATGTGCGAACTTGGCGCTATATTTCAAATTTCAGTGTTTTTGGTTTGATTACATTATTGAATTCAATTTATTATTATTATATTATTATTTTTTATGATGATTTATTAAATTATAATTTATGATTTCATGTTTCAAATTTTATCATACCCGGGATGTTTACTAGACTCTTGTTCAGACAGATTTCAGTGAGTTATTCCTAAAAATTACAGCCTACAATAAAAAAAATACATATTTCCATGCAAAATAATGGTACCGCTTTCAGCACCAAAAATCTGAAATTATCAGACCGCCAAGGAGATTAAATGTAAAAGAAGGAATCTTTGCTTTCTGTTCTTCTTATGGAACACCATGATTTTGGTTTTCTCTCTCTCTCCTCTCCTCTCACATTCATCTCTCTCTTTCCCTTCTCTCTCTCTCCCTCCCGCTTTCTTTCTCCTCTCTGCCTCTTCATCTTGCTTCATCTTGCTCTTATTCTCAATCCTTTCATTCCTGCTCTTACTTTCAAAATCAGCAACAACTCATGACTCTTACATGAGTTCAACCCTAAAGCAAACCTATCACCAAGCACAGTCTGATTTAATGTCTTCAGCCTCCAGAGCAGGAAACGCACATTCCCTGCACCTACCTTCAGATCAGTACGACAACCCTTGAGTTCACTGAGTTGTCATTCAAGCCCACTTCTCCAGCTTTCCCTTTCTTCCGCACATCTCACAATGTCACAGAGCCTATCTCTATGGGGCAACGAGGGGGGAGTTGGAGCTGAAAAATAAAGGAAGCCAAGAAGTAACTATATGTCTGGGTCAGGGGGTCTCTGTATTCACCTGAAGGTATGACTAGTCACCTGGTAATGCCAGATTAGTTGAGCCTGACCTCAAACACCGCCTTCTGAGTGTGCATAGCAATCTCAACTATAGATGCTGATAGAGTGCAATAGTTAGGGAGGCTCCTTATTTCCTTATTGCATAGACAGAGGAACTAGCCATGACAGGTGTTACATAGTTAGTCTGGCTGAAAAAAGACAAAAGTCCATCCACTTCAACCATTAAAAAAAAAAAAAAAAGTTATAATCCTATACCCCAGTTGATCCAGAGGAAGGCAAAAAAAAACCCCAGCAAAGCATGATCCAATTTGCTCCTGCAGGGGAAAAAATTCCTTCCTGATCCCCGAGAGGCGATTGGATATTCCCTGGATCAACTTTACCTATAAATGTTATATCCAGTTATATTCTGTGTATCCAAGAAAAAGAATCCAGGACTTTTTTGAAGCAATCTACTGAGCTGGCCAGAACCAACTCTTGAGGGAGTCTATTCCACATTTTCACAGCTCTCACTGTGAAGAAACCTTTCCGTGTTTGAAGATTACATTTCTTTTCGTCCAGATGTAAAGAGCGCCCCCTTGTCCTCTGTGATGACCTCAGGGTGTGAATAACTCTACACCGAGTTCACTATATGAACCATGATGTATTTATACATGGAGATCATTATCCCCCCTTATGTATTATACATGGAGATCATATCCCCCCCCCCTTATGTATTATACATGGAGATCATATCCCCCCCCCCCTTATGTATTATACATGGAGATCATATCCCCCCCCCCTTATGTATTATACATGGAGATCATATCCCCCCCTTATGTATTATACATGGAGATCATATCCCCCTTATGTATTATACATGGAGATCATATCCCCCCTTATGTATTATACATGGTGATCATACTATACCCCCCCCCCCCCCCTATGTATTATACATGGTGATCATATCCCCCCTTAATGTATTATACATGGCAATCATATCGCCCCTTATGTATTATACATGGTGATCATATCCCCCCTTATGTATTATACATGGTGATCATATCCCCCCCCTTATGTATTATACATGGAGATCATATCCCCCCTTATGTATTATACATGGAGATCATATCCCCCCTTATGTATTATACATGGAGATCATATCCCCCCTTATGTATTATACATGGAGATCATATCCCCCCTTATGTATTATACATGGAGATCATATCCCCCCTTATGTATTATACATGGAGATCATAGCCCCCCTTATGTATTATACATGGAGATAATATCCCCCCTTATGTATTATACATGGAGATCATATCCCCCTTATGTATTATACATGGAGATCATATCCCCCCTTATGTATTATACATGGTGATCATATCCCCCTTATGTATTATACATGGTGATCATATCCCCCCTTATGTATTATACATGGAGATTATATCTCCCCTTATGTATTATACATGGAGATCATATCCCCCCTTATGTATTATACATGTTCATCATATCCCCCCTTATGTATTATACATGGAGATCATATCCCCCCTTATGTATTATACATGGAGATCATATCCCCCTTATGTATTATACATGGAGATCATATCCCCCTTATGTATTATACATGGAGATCATATCCCCCCTTATGTATTATACATGGAGATCATATCCCCCCTTATGTATTATACATGGAGATTATATCCCCCTTTATGTATTATACATGGAGATCATATCCCCCTTATGTATTATACATGGAGATCATATCCCCCCTTATGTATTATACATGGAGATCATATCCCCCCTTATGTATTATACATGGTGATCATATCCCCCTTATGTATTATACAGTGGAGATCATATCCCCCCTTATGTATTATACATGGAGATCATATCCCTCCTTATGTATTATACATGGTGATCATATCCCCCTTATGTATTATACATGGAGATCATATCCCCCCTTATGTATTATACATGGTGATCATATCCCCCCTTATGTATTATACATGGTGATCATATCCCCCCTTATGTATTATACATGGAGATTATATCTCCCCTTATGTATTATACATGGAGATCATATCCCCCCTTATGTATTATACATGGAGATCATATCCCCCTTATGTATTATACATGTTCATCATATCCCCCCTTATGTATTATACATGGAGATCATATCCCCCCTTATGTATTATACATGGAGATCATATCCCTCTTATGTATTATACATGGAGATCATATCCCCCCTTATGTATTATACATGGAGATCATATCCCCCCTTATGTATTATACATGGAGATCATATCCCCCCTTATGTATTATACATGGAGATCATATCCCCCCTTATGTATTATACATGGAGATCATATCCCCCTTATGTATTATACATGGAGATCATATCCCCCCCTTATGTATTATACATGGAGATCATATCCCCCCTTATGTATTATACATGGAGATCATATCCCCCCTTATGTATTATACATGGAGATCATATCCCCCCTTATGTATTATACATGGAGATCATATCCCCCCTTATGTATTATACATGGAGATCATATCCCCCTTATGTATTATACATGGAGATCATATCCCCCTTATGTATTATACATGGAGATCATATCCCCCCTTAGTATTATACATGGAGATCATATCCCCCTTAATCTCCTCTTCTCAAGAGAGAATAAATTAATTTCCTCTAATCTTTCCTCATAGCTGATCTCCTCCATGCCTCTTATCAGTTTGGTTGCCCTTCTCTGTACTTTCTCCAGTTCCCCAATGTTCTTTTTGTGAATTGCTGCCCAAAACTGAACTGCATATTCCAGATGAGGTGTTCTCAAAGAATTAACTGCTCTGATCTCCCAGCTACTGAGTTTGCTTAACAGCATCAGTTCACAAACCCCATAATATCTTACATGCCTTTTAAAGATGTTAAAATCACTTTAGTGGTTTTCAAGCCTCTAGATTCATATATTTACAGGAACCCTGAGATTTATGTAAAATTTCCACTGCCTCTCATTTCTGGTCCCACTGCCTGTTTGAAACACGACCTTCTGAGAAGCTGACCCATGCTTACGTATTTCTTCATCATGTGTTTGGTTTGAGTTGTCGGGAAAAGCTGAATGCTTCACTTTAACAATAACATTAATTTAACAATAAGTACTTGGACTGTATAAATAGTCAATAATTAGACCAATATAGGTCACAGTCACTGAACAGAGTCTTGTGCAATTATAATAACAACAATAATAATAATAATAATAACAGTGTTCAATAAAGAAAAATAAAAACCGGTTGCTATAGAGACTGACACTTTTTTCCTTGTTTTGTTGTTCCCTTTTTTTTTTTTTTTTTTAATTATCCCTTTTATACTTTCATAGGCCTGTAACACAGTAGACACATCGTCTCATCCTGACTTTTCTTCACCTTTCACTTCATGCATTTTGTTCAAATATAAACCTTAATAACTTACAGATTTCTGTGAATTTGCACCAACCGCGGTCATTGTTTCCTTATGCTAATTGCAATTAGAGCAGTTGACAGAATTACTCATTAAAAAAAAGAGACACTCATCTTCGTTTCCTCTTTACAAAGATTCACTTCTTTTTGCAGGCGATCTGTATATAAACATTCCTCGGTATGAGGCCCTGTGCTGGGGATACAATAATAATTAACCACTTGAGCTCCAGAGGATTTACCCCCCTTAATGACCACGCCTCTTTTTGCTACTCGGCGCTGCACTAATTCAACTGATAATTGCGCGGTCATGCAATGCTGCACCCAAACGAAATTGACGTCCTTTTTTTCACACAAATAGAGCTTTCTTTTGGTGTAATTTGATCATCTGTGCGCTTTTTATTTTTCATGCTATAAACAAAAAAAAGCCAAAAATTTTGAAGAAAAACAATATTTTTTACTTTCAGCTATAAAAAAAATATAGTAAACTCAAAGTTGGTTATAAATGTAGGCCAAAATGTATTCTGCTCCATGTTTTTGGTAAAAAAAAAATCCCAATAAGTGT